TATCGCTGGAGTCCAGTTCAATTACGAAAAGGTTCCAATTAGAGTATCAAGTAGCTCCAATATGATAGACAAAACAATAGGAGACTTTTAAAGAGTCAAGTAGTGACAAACATGACACTTTCAGGTTAATAAGTTAACTTTGATGAATGCATATTTTTGTGTGTGCGGGTAGGGAAATGACTAAGCTATTAATAATGAAATGCTCACCTTGACATTCATGTATCTCAGGAAAAAATCCATTATAAATGATTTTCCTTTACGGAAGGCCCCAGCAAGGGGGCCGATATCTACGACAACAACAAAAAAAAACATATGGATTAATTAATAATTAATTGGAAGGAGCAATTTTGTGCCTCACTGATAACAAGCAAATTATTGATTGGGAATATATCACTGTTTCGATGATATTAGTATGTGACAGATGACTGTCGGAGTCTTTTATAGTGGGGGGCTTGACAAAAAAAAATCCAGAGACAGGTAAAGCTTTGGGGATTCTGTAGCAATAGTCTCTTCCTTTTACAAAAAATGATGAAAACTCTTCTAGTAATCGTTTTTGCGTACACAAAAATAGAAAACTTCCTCTGTATTCTGTATGGGTGGCAACTTACCTTCGACGGTCGAGAAATTCATCGGTCCCAATTGTTTACGTTTACTGAGCTCTGCCATGTTGGAACGGGTTTCAATTGGTTTCAATAACAAGACACTGCCGCCAACTGCGAAAACTCTCAGCTCGGCTACCAGCTAGCCTTCAGTGTTGCCAACTGTGCAGATCGCTGCTATATATATATACAGGGTGATCTGTAAAATACTGTTGTCTACGATGGGTGAAAATGTAATAAAAAAGTAATCATCAATTCAATTTCATTAAACTAACAAAAATTATTATTTTAGATACGGAGAAAAAACTTTATTTAATATAGAAATATTAAAATTTACTACATCTAAATATCCTTTGTAGATTGAAATAACTACGATGTGACGCATACGGGATAGGTAAAAATCTGTGTGAACTATGTAATAATACTTACAAACTATGTAACTAACAATATCACATACACACAGACAGACAGTGTTTGAGGATAGGAAATGGAACGCATTTAGATTGTAGTGTGCATACGTAACGTTTGCGTCGCATTCTTTACGTGTTGCGCTGTACGCTGTGACGAAACTTTATATTTGGATTTTAATTGCAACACGTGCATCTGCGACACTTAAGAATGTTACAAATTTAGACGCAGCTCTCTCGATCATCTCTACACGCTACACCACATCGCTTTCTTGCTACCACTAATTAAAAACAATCACAACAGTTTGCATCATTTCTCCAATTCGCTTTTTTTTTCTATTATTATAAACTATTTAATTATTTGAAATACAATTAAGAATGTCGCTTCTGTCAAATTAAACTAACTTCAACTTTGATAGTTATTTACAGAAAAACTGTGATAAATACGATCTAAGCGGCTCGTTGGAAAGCCTGAATCTTCATCTTTAATTAGAGTATTAATTTACATTTGTGTGTAATGCAATAACAGAGAAAAACGATAAAGTGTGAAGTTATTTCGGTTATCATTTTTTAAATTTGACAATTAACTGCGGGCAAACTATAATAAATTTCCATAATTAAATGGAAATGAGGAATATTCCTCTTTGATTAGAGTAAAATAATGAAATGTGAAGACATTGCATTTTTTTGGGTCAGTTATTTTTTTTTTAAATTTTAACATTGATAATAAGAAAACCGTACTATATACGAATCTTCCGAATGGCTCATTGGAAAAGCTGGAATTTCATCTTTAATTAGAATCTTAAGTGATGATTATGTCACATCCAATAACCGAGATATTCGATATAATATGAAGATACTGCATTACAAACAAATTAAACGTTTTGAGTTCTCCTATTGCTTTGCAGATGTCGCTCAACTTCATTTTTAACAGGAAAGCTGTATCAGTTGCCTATAATAACTCATTATGCTATATAATTACTAAAGTTTATTGTATTATTACATTAAGTTTAAAATCTACATGTTTGTTTATAATTCATTAGCTTTGATTGCTTACAGTTACAGAATTTATAAGAAAATCCCATTAGATTTTTTTTTTTTAAGTTTTTCTTCATTGAATAATGCAAAAACCATCTTTTTTTTTTCTCACCGCCAACCCTCTATTTCGTTTCCTTCATTCGCACGTCTTATTCTTTTGTTACAAAACGCGCACGTTGTGGCAAGTTTTTCTCTTTCTTTCTGTATTTTTTTTGTTATATTTTGCTGAGGGCTCTAGTTATGCAAATTCACCATTTTCGCACACATTCTATTCCCTTTCCATTCCTTCTTTCCTGCGGTGCACGAA